CCCTGCTAGAGCTCAACAGGATGATTGCGATTTGAACTGGCCGCTTTTCAACAGGCAAGGGCGGCCCCAATCTTACATGAGACTGACGGCCAGGGCACATTCTCGATCCGCTGCGATGCGTTGGCACAGTTTCCTCACGATTGGTACCCCACTTCGAGCAATCTCGCGCACATATGTGTCCTGGCTACATGGGAAGACACCACGACGATGCCGTTATGGAGGTTTCCCCTTCAGTGCTCAGCAATGAAAGGTTCATGGTTTGACTTTCCTGTATACCGAATATCGCCGAGCATTGTGATCTTGTCCGGCGAGAAGAGAAATAGTCATACCGGCTCCATTTGCACGGGGAAATCTTATGTCCATCATAAGTTAACTGGCGCGCGTTTGGCGCGCGCCCATAGAGCGTAACAGACGTCTCCACTATACTTGCGTTTGCATGCTCCACGCGCGTTTGGCGCGGCTCGCGGTTGGCGCGCATTTTGCGCGTCGACTGCTTCGCCGTCTAGTAGCTGACTTGCCCTCTGGTTGTAAAAAGCTGCGGCAAACAAACTCGGGGGCAACAAAATTCTAGTCAGCACGAGGTGCCCCTAGAGGTGCCCGCCCCCGAATGGCGAAGCTGGAAGAGGGTCTGTTTGGATAGAGCAGCTCGCGCGCTCGATGCGATGCGCCAGTGGTCCTTTTGCGCGGCCGCCCGTGGCATCCAGAGGCGCTCCCGCGCCGCAGTCGCCAGACGAAAGCAAGCCCATTCTGCAACCAGCCCCCGCTTGCCCTCGACGCCGACGAGAACAAAGGGGCTCCAGGCGAGGCGGGGTTTTCCCAAACCAAACGGGTCTTCCCAAACCCAGATGTTGCGGGACAAACAACTGGGTCTTCCCAAACCAAGCGACGGGTCTTCCCAAATCATCCCGGTCTTCCCAAACCAACCGCCTCGGTCTTCCCAAACCAACCGGGTCTTCCCAAACCAAGCAGGACTTCGAAAACCAACCGCCTGGATCTTCCCAAACCAATCATGTTTTCCCAAACCAACTTCCCGGGTCTTCTCAACAGGAGCTGGTCTTCCCAAACAACTCCACCTGGTCTTCCCGAACCAATCCCTGGGTCTTCCCAAACCGATCGGGTCTTCGTCCAGCCCTCGTTCCCAAACCAACCTGGGTCCCCCCGGGACATAACACTGGACATGGGCGGAATGCCAGCAGAACCTGGCGGAAGTCCGGCAGAAAACGGCCGCGGTTTGGACGACGCACTTCCGAGCGGCACGGGCGGCACCAAAATGGTCCGCGAGATGGTCCACGAAAACCACGAGTCGCCGACTGATCGGTCCAGATCGTCCAAGATGGCGTCCGAGAGGCCCCCAAGAGAGCCCGAAGTGTAAACATTCATCGGTAGCCCTGAGGTTTTCAAGGTTTCTCGCGTTTCCGCATTTTCAGCTTCCCCTCGGTCCAAGACGGCCCAAGAGGCCCCAAAGATCGCCCCGAAACTGCCTAAGAGCCCCCCAAGAGAAAGAGAGCGCCCAGACGGCCCAAGACGCCCCCAAGACGGCCCAAGAGGCGTCGAAGACGGCCTCAAAAGGCCCCGGGCACGCCCCAAGAGGGTCCCCAGAGGGGGTGCCCGCAGGAGGCCCCCAAGAGGTCGCAAAAAACGCGCAATGGTAAGCGGGACTTGATACATATGTAAACCATAAGAACGGCAGTCGTCCCACATACTTGATACATACATTACACATACTTCAGGCACATAAGGCAATGGTCAGCGCGCCTTGATCCTTACTCACGCCATAAGCGCGGCATGGGCCCCACATGATTTAGACATGACTTCGAGGTACTTAAGATATGAGTATGGCACGTTCCAGACACATATTGATAGGTTTAGGACATACGCCAGGCCATGGTAAGCGTGAATCGGTACACACTCAAGCCATAAGTATGACTTAAACCCACAAGTTGGATACAAATGGGACTGACTTCAAACACACATCAGCCATAACGAAAGCATAATTAGAACATACATCCGACACGCATAAATACATGTGTAGGGCACATGGTGGGTAATGGTAAACGTGAAGGGGTACATACGTATACCATAAGTACGGCATGAGCCGCATATGATTGAAACGTGGCTCTCCCCAGACCGGGGTCACATGGAAGAGCGAAGGCGAAAAGGAGGGCGGAAGCGACGGCGAGAACGAAGGCGATAACGAAGGCGGGAACAAAGGCGAGAACGCAGGCGGGAACGAAATCGAAAACGAAGGCGACAGGAAAGCGGGAAGGAAGGCGAAAACGACGGCGGCAAGGAAGGCGGGAACAAACAATGATAACGAAGGCGACAAGGACGGCGGGAAAGACGCAAAAAACGAAGGCGAGAACGCAGGCGAGAACGAACGCGGAAACGAGACGAAAACGATGGAGAGAACGAAAGCGGAGAACGAAGGCGAGAACGAAGGCGAGGAGGAAGGCGGAAACGAAGGCGGGAACGAATGCGGTAATGAACGCGAGAACGAAGGCGGAAACGAAGACAAAAACGTCGGCGAGAACGAAGGCGGCACCGAATGCAAAAACGAGAGCGGAAACGAGGGCGCGAACGAAGACGAAACAAAAACGGGAACGGCGGTGAGAACACCCGCATCGGTTCTCGTTGTCGCGCCCCTTCTGCGGCGGAGCATTGAAAGAACCGGCGAGGCACGATACGCAAGAAGGAAAAGAGCATGCTGACAAGAAAAATCATCGTTGCAGTAACGGCGAGGAGCACTTGATGAGACAAGATTATCCTCGCCTTGAAAGCCCAAGGAGAGGAGCAAATGATGACAGGTCACACATTTTTCGATTTCCCTCGGAGCCCTCGTCAGAAATGCCTCGCCACGAGCGCGCAGGCAAAAAAAAAACAGACGAGCACGAGCAATGAGTTGATGGGTGACGCGATCATCGAAGCGCCGACTGAATGCGAATATGACACCAGTCGCGTCAACGTCGGTGTTGGCTTCTGACAACGCGTGGTTCTGTCAACACTGACTGCCAGATCGTTCAACGTCGGGAAACTCGGAACCACTGGCAGTTGTGAACCTTGAGCGCCTGCGTTGCGGTCACTGCCGCGTCGACGCACCTCAACTCCCGGGCGGGGCAGGCGGTTGGCAGGGACCCCCGCCATCAGAGCGGTTTCTTTCCCGCTCTGATGGCGGGGGTCCCTGCCAACGAAAGTGAGAACGAAGATGGGCACGAAAGCGGGAACGAGGGCGGAAACGAGAAGGGGAAAAAGGCGGGAACGAAGTCGGGAACGAAGTCGAGCAGGAGGGTGGATACGAGGGCGGGAACGAGGGCGAAAATGATAACGGGAACGAGAGCTTAAACCAGAGCGAAAAAATGTAAGAAACGAATGCGGGAACGGAGGCAAAAACAGATGCGAAAACAAAGGCGAGAACAAAGGCGAGAACGAAGGCGGGAACGAAGGCGAAAACAAAGGCGAGAACAAATGCGAGAACGAAGGCGCGAACGGGGGCGGGAACGAGGGCGGATGCGAGAACGAAGGCGAGAACGAGAGCGAGAACGCATGGGAGAACGATCCAGAACGAATGCGAGAACGAAGGCGAGAACGTAGGCCAGAAAGAAGGCGAGAACAAAGGCGAGAACGAAGGTGGGAATGCAGGCGAGAACGAAGGCCAGAACGAAGGCGGAGACGAAGGCGGGAACGAAGGCTAAGACATCATGACAAGAAAGCGTAAACGAGGGCAAGCACGAAGGCGGGAACAAAGGCGAGGACGAAGGCGACACCGACGGCAGGAACGCAGGCGAGAACGAAGGCGAGAACGAAGGTGAGAACGAAGGCGGAAACAAAGGCGACAACAGCGGAAACGAAAGCGGGAACAATCGCAAGAACGAAGGCGAGAACGAAGACAAGAACGAAGGCGGAAACGAGGGCGGGAACGAATGCGAGCACGAAGGGAAAAACGAAGGCAGGAACGAGGGCGAGACGAAGACATGATTGGTTTGGGAAGACACGGGGATTGGTTGAGGAAGATCTGGGGGCATGTTTTGAAGACCCGGTTCGTTTGACAAGACCCGGGGGGTTGGCTTTGGAAGACCCGGTTGGTTTGGGAAGACCCCGGCGGTAGGTTTGGGAAGGCCCCGGGTTTGGTTTGGGAAGACCTGGTCGCAACATGTAATATTGGAAGGCCTGTTCGGTTTGGGAAGGCCCTGCCTCGTGCTTTCGCGCTTCGCGCTTCGCGCTTCGTGAAGCGGGAACACTGCTTCGCGCTCTCGCGCCGCCCTCCAGGGGAGAAGAAGAGGACGAGGGATCGGAGCCGAGCCGCGAAGCGCGAAGCGCGAACAACTTCGCGTCCTCGAGGACGCCCTTGGCTGAGGATGGACACACCCTTCAGCAAGCCACGCACATCACACCCAGCGGCTCGCACTGCGAGGCCGATCGCAATGCCACGACACTGTGAGACGAAGTCGGCACGAGGAGGAAGGAGGAGGAGACGAGGACAGGAGAGACAATGCGGGCCTGCCGATACGAAACACCCCGTAAACCTGCTTCTCCACGGGACCAGCTTTTCGTCGCGAGCCGGTCTTGGACAGTCCTAGGGACCTGTGGAAGGCTCAGGGAGGCCCGAAAACGGTTGGACGGAGCCCATTCTTAAGTTGTGTCCGAGCAGACGGGGTCGCAGTAACGCGCCACATCGGCAATGAATCGGCGACGTTGGCGGTCGGCTTCCGCACCGAGCCGCATCGCCGGTGCATCGGATGCGGCGCGATCCTCCGACCCCATTTACGGTACTCTTGCATCCTTCCCTTTCGGCCCATCCTTGGCCGCCTTCGCTGGCCGCGCCCCGCCCGCAAAGTGTCGACAGGGCCTTCCAGGGTCCTTGCATCCTTACCTTACCATGCGTCCTCATCACACGGGTTGACTGTAGAATTTCCCGCAAGACCCGTTTGCTTCCATGCCGGCTCGGCGCTGCCCCCCTGGTTCCCGCCCGTGGGATTCCCCTCCGAGGGGCGGCCCGGCACATCCTCGCCGGACTCCGCCCGCGGCGAGGGGTCGGGCGAGAGCAAGGCGATGGCGCCGCCCGGCAGGCCATCCACCCTGGCAGGCGGCGGCTGCGGTGGAGGGCCAACGTCAAGTCGGACGAAATCCCTGCGGTCCAGGCGTCAAGTTCTTTTGACTTTCGACGGAATTGTATTTTTTCGCGCCGTCGGATTTCAGGGGGGGAATGGGCAGGCCCCGACCAGGAGAACAAGCAGACGATGCCGATACCGCCACCCCCAGGCCCGCTCCCATGGCGCCGCTCCGACTAGATGTCGAGAGGCGAAGCTATATTCGTGGCGGCGAAGAGCGGGTAGCTGGAGAAAGATGGAATGGCTCAATCACAAACGTAAGCACGTAAACATAATCATGAACCAAACTGCGTGACCTGAGCAGGGACCGACCGTCCCGGCATTCCTACACGTCGGTCGGAAGGAAGTGGATGGACGCATGCAGTAGGAAGGCGGATAAAGTATATTGGGCCAAGGTATCCCCAGATGTCTTGTATTATACATAAAACGCGACCGAATAACGTCACGTGACGAAGCCTCGACCGCCATGCGAATCGAAAGTTCGCCAAGCAAACCGGGAACACAACAAGAGAAGACCAACACTAGGCAAAATCATGCAATGGGTCGTGGCCTGAAAGAGGAACGGACGCGCAGCATGCGTGAAGAAAGGACAAGCGAGAAGGAGAGAAGGGAGGCAATTGGCAGGGCGGGCGCGGCGGGCGAAAACCGAGGCTCGCTACGGCCACGCACCACGCCCACTCGGTAGGGCGTAGCGTGTGATCTGGAGAAGAGCTGAGGACCAACGACAGACCAACAAACAACTATATATGAAAAACAACGGCGCGCGCCATCAAAGAAGCTCGAAACTCGAACGCCGCGAGACTGAATGTGCACGACCGCGGCGGCGGTGAGTAACAATGACATGCACTCAAAACTTATGCTAAGAAACCCTCCATTAAGAAATTGAGATCCAGCTTCGCTGAATTTCTTCGCCCTCTTGCGAGAGCCAGCTTTGAAACATGCAGTTTCTTAGCGCAGCGCGGCGCCAATGTTGGTGGTTTTGAAAAAGATTGCGCCGGTGATGATGCCGATTGCGCGGGGCCGGGGGGCTCTGCAGCAATGTATGAAACACAACAAGCAGGAACATGTGGAGAAAGATGTGGCGGGGGATCTGAACGAAGACCAGAGGAAAATCCGAAGGACGATCTGAAGAAAGATCTTGGGAATATCTACGGTAGAGGAAAGATCTCGAGGAAGACCCCGGTAAAGGTCTGGGTGAAAATCTGGACGGATATTTGGAGAAGATCTGGGGGGAGATCTAGAGGAAGATCTGGAGAAACATCCAGTGGAAGATCTGGGCGATATCCAGAGGAGAGATCTCGAGAAACACCCGGGTGAAGATCTGGGGCAATATCTGGAGGTAGATCTGGGAAACATCTGGAGGAAGATCTACAAGAGAGCTCTCGGGAAAGATCTGGGTGGTTATCTGGGGGGGGGGGGGCTCTGGAAAAGATCTGGGGGGAATTCTGGTGGAACGTTTTGAGAAAAATCTGAACGAATATCTGGAGGAGAGATCTCGGGGAAAATCTGGGTGAGAGATTGGGGGGATGATCTGGGAAAGACCTGGAGGAAGATCTGGGGGAAGATCTGGAAACACATCTGGAGGAGTAAACGCGAAGAAGATCTGGGTGAAGATCTGGGCGAAAATCTGGAGGAAGATCTGGAGAAGATGTTGGGGAAGATCTGGGGGAAGGTCTGGAGAAATATATGGTGGAAGATGTCGGGGGCATCTAGAGAAGAGACCTTGAGGAATACCCGGGTGAAGATCTGGGTGAAGATCTACGGGAAGATGTGGGCGAAGATCTGGGGTCATATCTGGAGGAAGATCAGGTGAAATACCTTAAGGAAGATCTAAAGGACAGATCTCGGGGAACATCTGGGTTGATATCTGCGGGGAGATCTGGAGGAAGATCTGTGAGAATATCTAGGCAGATGAACTAGGAAGATCTACAGGATGATCTGAAGGAAAATCCAAGGAAGATCGATGAAACGTTTGGGAAGATCTGGGAGAAGATCTGGAGGGAGATCTGGGGGGATCGAGGAAGTTCCGGGGACGATTTGGTAGAACATCAAGGGAAGAGATGAAAGAAGAGCAGGAGACACATCGGGGGAATATCTACAGCAGAAGAGAGATATCGAGGAAGACCCCGGCGAAGATTTGGAAGAGATCTCGACGAAGATTGGGAGCACATCTGGGGGAAGGTCTGGAGGAAGATCCGGAGAAACATCTGGTGGAATATCTGGGGTATTTAGAGGAGAGATCTCGAGGAAGACCTGGATGAAGATCTGGGTGAAGATCTGACTGAAGATCTATGGGAAGATCTGGGGCAATACCTGGAGGTAGATCTGGAGAAAGATCTGGAGCAAGATCTACAGGAGAGATCTCGGGAAAGATCTGAGTGGAGATCGAGGGGGGGGGGGAAGATCTGGAGGACGATCTGGGAGAAGGTCTGGGGAAGATCTGGGCAGATGAGCTAGGAACATCTACAGGGGGGTCTGGGGGAAGACCTAAACGGAAGATCTGGAGAAAAATATGGGAGAAGATCTGGAAGAACATCTAAGAAGATCCGGGGAAGATTTGGGGGAAGAGCAGATGAACATTTGAAGGGCGATCTGGGGAATATCTACTGTAGAGGGAAGATCTCGAGGAAGACCCCGGCGAAGATCTGGGTGAAAATCTGGGCGAAGATTTGGAGAAGATCTCGGGGGAGATCTGGAGGAAGATCTGGAGAAGCATCTGGTGAAGATCTTGGTCATAGTTAGAGGAAAGATCTCGAGGAAGATCTGGGTGAAGATCTGGGTAAAGATCTGGGGTCATCTCTGATCAGTCGAAGGAAAATCTGGAGAAAGATCTGGAGGAAGATCTACTAGAGAGATCTCGGGGAGGACCTGGGTGGATATATGGGGGAAGATCTAGAGAATATCTGGGGGGAACTATGGTGGAAGATGTGGAACAACATCTGAAAGAAGATCTGGAGGAGAGATCTCGGGGAAGATCTGGGTGAAGATCTGGGGGGGGGATATCTGAAATAATACATGAAGGAAAGACCATGGCAAAATCAGCAGGAACAGGAGAGGAAGAAAACAAGCAGGAGGGAAGGATGAGGAGAAAGGAAGGAGGGGAGGAGCAGGAGAGGAGGAAGAGGAGGAGGATGAGGAATAGGGGGCCGCGGGAAGATCTGGGGGAGGACATATGGGTGAAGATCTGACCGTAGATCTGGAGGACAATCCCGGAGAAGATCTGGGGAATATCTAGGCAGATAAACCAAGAAAATCTAGAAGGAGAGCTGGGGGGAGATCCGGGGAAGATCTAGGAGGATCGGAAGAAGATCTGCTAGAAGATCTGGAGGATGATCCGAAGAAGATCCGGGGAACATCTAAGGGAAGAGCCGGGGCAAATCTGGAGGAAGATCTGGAAGAAAATCCGGGGAAGCTCTAGGAACATCCAGGGAAGATCTGGAGGAAGATCTGGGGAAGATCTGGAGGAATATCTGGAGAAAGATCTGGGGCAAGATCCGGGTGAAGATCTGGGGGGGGTGATGTGGGGGAGATCTGGGGGAAGATTTGAAGGAAGATCTAGGGGCGATCTAGGAAGACCTGGGGAAGATCTGGAGGAATATCTGGCGAAGATCTGGAGGAAGATCTGGAGAAAGATCCGTGGCAAGATCCGGGGAAGATCTGCGGCAAAATCAGGAGAAGATCTGGGGCGAGATCTGTAGGACAATCTGGAGAAAGATCTGGGGAACGATCTTGGGGACAACTCTCGGTGAAGATCTGGGTGGAGATCAGGGTGCAGATCTGGGTGAATATGTGGGGAAGATCTAGGGAGATCTGGAGAATATCTGGGATCAGATCTGTAGGAAGATCTAGGAAGATCCGGGGAAAATCTGGAGGAAGATCTGGGGGAGATCTCGAAAACAAATACGGATGAAGATCTGGGGATGATCTAGAGATCTGGGGAAGGTATGGCGGAAGCTCGGGGGGCAGATCTAGGGTGAGATCAAGAGGAAGGTCTCGAGAGATCTCAATGAATGCCCGGGTGAAAATACGCGTGAGGATCTGGGTGAAGATCTAGGGGAAGATCTGGGCGAAGAGCCGATGTGATATCTGAAGGAAGATCTGGAGAAAGATCTGGAGGAAGATCTAGAGGAGAGAGATCGGAGAAGGTCTGGGGGAAGGTCTGGGGAAGATCTGGGGGGAATTCCGATGGAAGGTTGAGAGAAAATCTAAAATGGAATATCTGGAGGAAAGATTTCGGGGAAACTGTGGATGAAGATCTGGAGGAAGATCTGGGAAACATCTGGAGAAAGATCTGGAGGAAGATCTGGAGACACATCTGGAGGAAATAGCTCGAGGAAGATCTGGGTGAATATCTGGTTGAATATCTGGAGGAAGATCTGGAGAAAATGTGGGGGAAGATCTGGGGCACGATCTGGAGAAACATCCGGTGGGGGATCTGGAGAAGAGATCTTGGGAAAGATCTGGACGAAGATCTGGGTGAAGATCTTGGAGGAGATGTGGACGAAGACCTGGGGGCAGATCTGGAGGAACATCTGAAGGAGAGATCTGATGGGAGATTTGGAGGATAGATCTCGGGGAAAGTTTGGGTGAAGGTCTGGGGGAAGATCTGGAGAAGATCTGGCGCAAAATCTGGAGAACAATCTGGGGAGATATATGGAGGAGAGATTTCGGTGAAGATCTGGGTAAAGATCTGGGTGACGTTCTGGGGTGGTATCACAAATAATGTATGAAGGAAGATGTTGGGTAAGATCTGGGTGAAGATCTGGGGGGAAATCTGGGGAAGATCTAGGCAGATGAACTAGGAAGATGTGTGGGAACATCTGGAGAAGATCTGGGGCAAGATCTGGAAGAAGATCTTGAGAAAGATCTGCATGAAGAAATGGAGGAGAACTCTCGATGAAGACCTGGGTGAAGATATGAGTGAAGATCTGGGGTATTATCTGCACAGATGAACTAGCAACATATAGA